CTCTAACCTTGGATGCAGCGGCTCTCCTGGCCTCCGAGGAGCCCTTTCTTGACAAGCTAAACAGGAACGACAAAACTTGTTAATCATGTTCATAATCCCATCCCAATAGTATACCTCTCTTATTTTGGCATACGTGGCACCAACTCCTCGATGCCCTCCTGCAATGTCATCATGAAGCGCGGCTATAACATCAATCTGACAGTTCTTCCTGCATACAACTCTTTTGGGGTGCCCTACTTGTCTCTTGACACAGAGATGATCATCTCTCACTGGGTAGAAATGCCTCATCTTTTGAGCTCTTTCGCTAGCATCCTTATCCCGCATCTCACACGATAAAAGAAGTTCCAGCTCCAGGTAGATCCCATCATATTCCTCTGCACAAAACGTCTCTTTGATCTCTCCTTCCTCAAACTCATCATCATGACTTTCCGATACAAGGTCTTCATTTTCAGTCGGATTCAGTGAGCTTACTTGATCAAAATTCCCCTGCAGAAGCGTGTTGACGAGGACGTACATTCACCCCATCAACTTCTCGTACTTCTCTACCTGGTCCGACCCTTCTTCTATCGTTCTCACCTCCTCCACCAGACTATGTGTGCTTGCCAAAGCCAACTTCATCATCCATTGAACATCCTTGCCGCCCCACAGATCTTCTTCCTCAAAAGGCTTGAGTACAAGCTCTACCTTCTGCTCATATCCCCTGGGTGCAAGCCAAATGGGATGGCCAACGCAACTCAGCACCCACAAGGATACACTTATTGATATGAAGGCGAGCGTCTTCCTCCTGATCCGAGAAGCCATCAACCGGGGGCGTGTCCTCTACTGCGTCTCCCTTTTGCTTGTCCCAATTGATGCGACTAAGCGCATCTGCCCTATTTTTGCTCCCTGGAATCCGTTCCAATTCGAAATTAAACATCCAGATGTACGTTAGCCATCTGGCGACAGTTGGATCTGATGGAACGTAATTCCTCAACGAGTACGTGAGCGCAGTTGGGTCTACTCTCAATATGAACCTTTTGTCAAAGATATAATTTCGAAAAATCCTCAGGCAGTGAAGAAAAATGAGAGTCTCCCTCTTAAATTGAGATTAATTTCTCTCAGTCGTACAAAGAGTTCGGCTCTCAAACCTTAGCGGCCTCTCCTTTCCTTCGACATCTGCCTGAATCAAGCCTCCCCCTAAGGCAGTCGGTCCAGCGTCCATCTCAACGATGAATGGACTCACCTATGTGGCCTCATAGTCCGGTGTTCCCAATACCAACCCTCCTTCTCGAAATTTCTCCTTCATTCCTGCCACAACATTTTCCTGGTCCTCACCCCAGACTCATTCCTGATCCTGACGCACCAGCTTTCTTAAGTGCTCAGTTTTGGCAGCAAAGTTCTTGATGAAGGTTCTTCAAAACCCACACGTACCGAGGAAGCTTCTAACATCTGTTATCAAATGAAAAGGTAGGTCATTCGATAATTTTTTCCATGTTCTTCACATCTGGCCGCCGACCACTCTCGCTACAGACGAACCCTAAAATGGTAGCCTCCCTCATGCAGTGTCTGGATTTGGCACCGCCTGCCATTAGGTTGTGTTCCTCAAGCAAACTCAAAACTTTATCAAGATCCTGAATATGCTTCCAAACAAAATGCCTTGCACCTGGCAAGACTTCGTCACTCTCCTTTTCTCTCGGCCCCTTTACCGCCAAGTCGTCGATATATGGTTGAGTGATATGCGGACTGACTGTCTACATCGCTCGGATCATATGTCGCTGAACCATTGCCACCGCATTAGTCCATCCTTGTGGAGCTACATTCATGTGGATCGGTCCTTGGGGCGTATGCATCGCTGTCACTGGTCCGTCTGGCGGATAGACCGGAAACTGGTCATATCTGGAGTAGAGGTCTAAAAGCGAAATTATAGGCCTCCCAACACATGACTCTGACAGCGCGTCAGCATTTGGAAAGCCCTCCGCATCTCGCACGGTCACAACGTTGAACTGCTGCAAGTCTTGCACCCACCACAACGTCCCATTTGGTTTGACAAAGCAAAACCATGGAGACGCATACGGCCTACTTGAGTAATCGGCGACATGCGTACATATCCCGTCGAGATAGTCCACCACCTTCCTTTTCTCATCAGGATTAGGATACTGCGCTCCTCTCAAATTTCATGGTTCGTGTGGCACGGTATGGATCCGGATCATAGAAATTTTATCCACGTCCAATCTCCCTCGCTGATCGTCGTCGAATGCATCGGCGCGATACCTCCTCTTCATTAGCTCTATTATCAACACCCTTTCCTGGGGTAACAAAAAGTTAGGCTCTCCCACTATTAGCTTCCCTGAGTTTCCTTCATTGATACGGCACGGACCGACCGCCGCTTGCTCCCTCATTCACCGTATCAATCCTTGTTCCCGCGCATAATAAACTTCCTCATCTTCTGTGACGAGAACGGGAACTGGACGACACTTCTTGTCTATAGTTTTGTACCGCTTTCGGGAACCCTGCTTGAGTCATCCCCTAAAAAAGGTTGGCTTACCACTTGCGCCTGCATCATTGCAGGGTCCCTCCTTTCACTCGGAAGCCGATAAACCAGCTCTACTTCCCCAACCTTGGGACATTACAGAACCTGTTCCTTCAGCGCCTGAATGGCGTTGTGGAGGCAAAAACCCTGCCAAGGGTATTTGCCAGGGTTTTTCAATGTCAGACGTTGTTCGACCTTTTCGGTGAATTCAAGGACTTGATGAGACCGATGTTTGCCAAAAGCTTATTCAGACCTGACCTATGACTGAGAGGCTAAAAGTTTTCGGACTTAAGTCCGAACCCATGTAGCGTCCAGAAATAACGGATGTTAATGGCAATGCTTCGCTTTTGTCGAAGCCGCAGGAGAGTGCGGATATGGGGACGCTAAAATTGAACCCCATCTGTTAAGCCGCGCGATTCAGGGCCTAGATAAGTAGGAAAAGGGTGTCCGCACTTGATATTGGGCCACGAGGTCTGCTTCGTATGGAGGACCGAAACAGTCTCGTGGCCGTCCGCGGGTCACCTAGCCAAGCTGCAACGGTGCGCCGCCTGCCGAATCGACAAGCGGCACGGCTAAGGTGAGGAGGGTCGTGCTTGCCTAACTGTGGCAGGCGGGCTACAAGCAGATAACTTTTCTATAAGACGGTTATTGGGTAACTGAAAATTCAGGAATGAAAATTCTGAAGTGAGAGTTTTTGGCAGTCTGAAAATCCTGAATGGTCCTGAAGTTGTGAAATGTCCGAAGACCCTGAAAACCACCTGTTTAGGCAGGCTGCATCCTGAAGTGGTGAAGGGTGTCCTGAAGTGGTCAAGTGAGAGTTTTGGGCAGTCCGATAGTCCTGAATGGTCCTGAAGTGGTGAAAAGTCCGAAGACCATGAAAACCATCCTTCACCACTTGAGGGTGCAGCCTGCCTAAACAAGTGGTTTTCAGGGTCTTCGGAGCTTTCACCACTTCAGGACCATTCAGGATTTTCATACCTGAATAGTCCTGAAGTGGTGAAAGGTCCGAAGACCCTGAAAACCACTTGTTTAGGCAGGCTGCATCCTGAAGTGGTGAAGGGTGTCCTGAAGTGGTGATGAAAAATACGACTGTTGTTAACCTTTTCTCTAAGAAGAGTTGCGGGCTTAGCTCCCGTGATGAGGAGCTCGCCCAGTAGATCAAGGGCCAGGAGCCCCGATGAAATTGTGCTTGGCTGTGGGCAAGGCAACTGCCCACATGCCTTGGCCAGCTATAAAAGCCAGCTTGTCACCCAACAGCCTCGCACTTGTGGCAATGCCGCTGGGGCATTCTACTTGAATTAGTTGCTGGCTGGTTGGCTGCTGGTGTACTGGGACGAAGTGCTGGAAATCTGTCGTAGCACTTGGAGGGAGAGGAGAGAGGCAGTCATAGCTAAAGGTTGGGAGTTTCGGGCCCCACCTTTGTGCTTGTGTTGCGGGCCTGTGGGGAGGCTGTAGATATGAGGCTGCGGCAGGCTAGGACCGTGTTGCACGGGGCCCACGACAGGGAGGTGGTGCCCGACGATTGACACGGTGGCGAAGGATTTTGAGTGGGAGGTTGCGTCACTGTATTTTTTTGGAAGGAGATGCTGCTGGAATTATGCGGCACAACGGTGAACTTTTGTGGTGGCAATCTATTTAACAGTTTTTTAGGGGAGTTGTTGTTGGCATTGCGAGGCGTGGCTGGTGAAGGTTTTTTTACCGGCAGGTTCTGAATCAGTGGCGGTGTATTTTTTTGCAGGATACCTACTGGGCTAGCTCCTCATAACGGGAGCTAAGCCCGCAACTCTTCCCTAAGAAGAGTTGCCTCCCTGTAGCCCGCCTACCACAACTAGGCAAGCACGACCCTCCTCACCTTAACCGTGCCGCCTGTCGATTCGGCAGGCGGCGCACCGTTGCAGCTTGGCTAGGTGACCCGCGGACGACCACGAGACTGTTTCGGTCCTTCATACTAAGCAGACCTCGTGGCCCAACATCAAGTACGGACACCCTTTTCCTACTTATCTAGGCCCTGAATCGCGCGCCTTAACAGCCTCGCGACATTATCTTAGACAGGGTTCAACTTTAGCGTCCCCATATCCGCACGCTCCTGCGACTTCGACAAAAACGAAGCCTTGCCATTAACATCCGTTATTTCTGGACGCTACACGCGTCCGGACTGAAGTCCGAAAACTTTTAGCCTCTCAGTCATAGGTTAGGTCTAAATAAACTTTTGGCAAACATAAGTCTCATAAAGTCCTTCAGTTCAGCGAAAAGGTCGGACAACGTCTGGCATTGAAAAACCCCGGCAAATACCCTTGTCAGGGTTTTTGCCCCGACAACATCTGGATCCGCCATCTTATGCGTGGCCACTACATCCATGGCCTTGTTCACATCGGATAGGATGAGGGAAAACACCTCCTCTTGTGCCTCCTCTTATGGTTCCTCACAGAGCCTCCGATGCTCATCCTCAGACTCTTCAATCGTGCATGAACCAGGGTTGGGTTGATTCCTTATACTTCGTAGGCTTTTGTTCCGGCAAGTAACTATTTCATAGTTTCCGCCTGCCGGGTCACACAGGATCAAGATCAAAGTTCCGTTGTGTTGGTTGAACATCAACGTCTCTGTCCTGTATAGGAATGACCTCCCCAGGAGGATGGCATGATCTACGTCTGGCATGACGAAGAAGCAAGCTTCGGCCTTTACGCTCCCAATCTCAATAAGTACGTTTGATGTTGTTCCGCAAAATACTGCCTTGCAGCTGGCCCCATGCAGAATGCTGCAATCCAAGCAGTCTATCTCCAACCCAAACCTGAGTGCATCAACTTCCTTGATGATATTCATCTCCGCCCCTGTATCCACCATTGCTACGCACTTCGATCCCTTTACCACTAAATCCACCATCCCGCAGACCACACACTTTCAGTTCATCTTTGTCCCAGTTTCCGCCCATTCTGCCTCCTTTGGCAGAATTACGCTTAGATGGACATTTGGCACCAGACGTCGTGAAAGCCTCCCCTTTAGCTCGTTACGTAGCTTAGGGGCAGACGCCAGGATCTCCTTCAAGGTCACAAGGTCGTTATGATCTTCAAGCAACCTATCGATCACCTTTTCCACGTCAAACCCTTCCTCCAACTGGACCGCATACTTTTTCTTCTTTGGCGCTACATCGTGCAGAATCGGTTCGGCTTCCTCTTGGGCTCCCCTCTTCTTGGCCCTTTCCTCCGTCCTTCGATCCTCCTCTTGACGCAGCCTATCGTCATGCTCTTCTTTATCATCGTCCTCCTCTACCTCCACGGCCTCTTTCCTTCGTTCAAGCTTTGGATGCCTCCGAGGGGGTTCTCGGTTGGCATTTGCCTTGCTCTGGCCCCTGGTTTGCGTCGCTTGGGCCATTCTCCCTTGCGCAGTAAGGGGCCTGAAGGTCATTCCGGACCGAGGGCCTGACCCCACAGTGGCTACTCCAGGGTAACCTGCCGTCCCGGTACCGAATCTGGGCCGGATTCGTAGAGGAAGACTCTGGGATGCTGGCCCTCCATTTTTTCACTTCTTCATATATATCTACCAACTTTTCTTGGTATCTCCTCATTTTCTCTCATAAATCCTCCATCTTTCCCAGAAGGACTGACACCGGCTCCACTTTCTCACCCTCGCTCTTTTCGTCCGGCTCAACGACTATAGGTTCTTCTTTTATAATCCCTGTCTGTAGCCTCTGAGTCACCTCTTCATTATCTTCCACGCTTATCCGTGGGTCATCCCTTTCCTGTCACAACCTGAACGTGGCAGGTGGCGCTTGCCGCACAACTATTCTCCTATGAGCTTCCGCCCGCACTTTGCCTGGAATCGTTCGGTCAATATACTCCCCGTACTAATTATATATGTCACCATCCATATTGAAATAGATCAGTCCGGACTTTTCACCTTCCCTCCTTGTATTGCATAACCGTATTGTATGACCTTGCTTGTCGTAATGCTGGCAAATAGCGGTCCTCTAGTCAAAACGAGGCCTTCCATATCCTTGACCCCCTTCATTCCCTTGACTACCTTGACTCTCTTGGCCTTGGTAACCTTGGTTGTCTCATTGTCCAGCCCGGCCACCGCCATTCCTGCCATGTCCTCTTCCGCCACCTCTCCCTCCATTCCCTTGGTTGCCCTGGCCTTGATTTCCTCCCCTTGCCACGCTATCTTGTGAACTCGGCGCGGGCGACGGAGGTGGCGCCATGGGTTGGGCCTGCGCTACAGGATAGCTTGGCGGCGGCATACTCGCTTGGGGCCCTGCGTGTGGTACCATATGTCCAGACGAGGCTGGACCTCCCCATGGCACGAAGGTGTTAAACACAAGCCATGACCACTGCCCATACGGTGGTACCGCCGCTTGCGAGGGTCCCTCGCTACTTGACGGAGGCGACGTACTCGGCAAGGCTATTATCAATGCTTGGGGTGCCTGTCCCTTTTCGGAGCCTTGCCCTCCCGGCGTCAAATCGCGCTGTTTGCGTTGTGCTCATAAAAGGTGTTGGGGCACCGGCTCCTCCTCTTCCCATTCTTCCTGAACGGCCTCCTCTACCACCGGATCCTTCTCCTTTCCTTGGATCGTGGTCACCACTTTCTTTTGTACCACGACATCTTTCCCATAACCCACCTCCGCGAGTACATGTGTAACGATCCTTTTCACCCCGGGGGTCCCTGAGGAGGTCGCATCTCGCTCCTTTCTTTTCCGCCTTTGTTGGCGCATTTGGTATTGTTCCACCTGGTCCAAACTCCCTTCTTCTACCCCCTTGTCGATGGTGGCCTAGGTGAGGTTTGCGCTTCCTCCTCCGTGACTTATCAACTCCAAGGCTTCTGAGGCAGTGAACAGTCCCAGGAAGACAGCACATTGTGCTTCTTTCGAGATTCCAGGGACCTTTCTTGCCTTTTTCTTAAATTCATGTACAAGGGCCCCGACTGTGGTAAAATCGTCCTTGTTCATCGCCCCCAAATCTGCAGTGGTCAACAGACCATCACCCAACCTGTACTTCCTTTGCATTCCATCCTTAAGCCTCGCCCAACTCCCGTTAGCTGCATTAATAACCTTCTCCACTTCCTGGTGGTGCCCATGGAGTACGTACTTAAGAATACGTTGGAACTTCGCCGCATCTGATAATCCCATCAGTGCCTGTTCCACCAACTCCAACCATTTTGAAACTCCCTCCCCATTAAAATGGAAGGTGTTGACCTTTGGGACATTGCTTTGCAACCTCTCCCACTTGTCCAGGGGCTCAACCAAATCATCAATTGTCAGGACCTTCCTGACACCATCAGCTATGTCTCCAGACATCTTGGCTGAATCTCTTACTCAACTTCCCTGTTAAGAAGAGGTAGAAACTTTCATTCAGCATCTTGACTTTTCATGACGCCTATAAAATTTCCTACATAATTACTTCACAGTCCAGATTTAACAAGTGTCACTGTCTCTTTCTTTTGAACCCACCTCAGTACGACCCACTTCCTCTACAGGACTTCCTTCATGGTCTTTTAAGTTAGGCAATCAATCAATTCGATGATAAAATTTATTATACTAATAACATTGGTTCAAAATAGACAATCGAACAAGGCATCACATACTTCATCTTTCCTTATATGCCTATTTTTCTCCTCAATCCCATACCCGGATGTCGTTCCACCAGGGACAACGGTAGACTTTCGTTATCCCCGGCAACGACGTCACCTGTCGAGCGCATCGGTCTAGCACCACACAAACGGGGCGGGACCCTCTCGGCCACGTCACGTAGGAGTTGGTCTGTTCCTCATTCGATACACATGGAGCTTGCTCAAGCCGATCCGGCCAAGTGCGCCAACCATACCTCTCGCGAGCCCCTACGACAGGATAGGGCCTACGCGAGGCACGACTTACCTCCACCTTACGGGAGTTGTCACCTCCCTTCGATGAGTGTCGCCCCGCCGAGCTACCAGTCCACAGTACGAAAGTTAATCAACTGCAATCGCAGAGGGGGACCAGCCAAGGGCGTTTCTCGTTCGCTGTAGCAAAGGGGGTACGCACGGTTTTACGCCTCTATCGGACCCGCACGTGAGCCGACGCGTTGGGGGGTTGAGGTCTCAACCGCGACTCGTCGTCGGTCGACTAGGACGCATCCTACTTACCACACGTTATACCACTCTAAGAACAGAAAAAAATAAACACACACACACACACACACATACACAAAACGACACAAACAAAACAACGCACACGATCATAGTCCCTTCAATAGCCATCTTATAACTCTCCGATGCGGAAATTTGATATACAATCCGCTCGAGACTTAGTATAAAACCGTGCGGACGTAGGGTCTTCCCATATCGACTAGCAATGTATGATTATGCAAGCAGTCACAATGATGGCGTACTATGTAGTGCCCATAACCAAGCGGTCCCTCGTGGATCCGACTACCGCTTATGACACTCGGGTGTCAACCTGAAAGTATCGTGAAGGTTAACCATTTTACGATATTGCACGGCTGAAGGAACATCAGTGCGGTCTCCACGGCACCTCCGCCCTTTAGGCAGAGTGTCTCGGTGGGCAGGGCAAATAGGCTCTGCGCGGGGGGGGTGATCCCTTCCACGAGGAGTCTAGGACCTGCGATGTTCTGGACAAGGACCTCGAATTCAGGCCCAGGACCAACGTCCGACTAAGAAACTTTTTAAGAAGCAAAACAACATTAAAGGAAGGGAGTCCCCCTCCCTCTTTCAATCTCGACCCTAATTAAGCCCTTAAGTGTGGGTTCCTTAGGCTATGCGAACACCCAAACATAGGTATGTACCTATATATATGTATAGGGGGGGGATAAATATGTTACAATCACTTTTCACGGTCATCGTGAGACTCCTCTTAGGCAGTCAAATCCAAAGTTTGAACCACAAAACATACCTGCAATCACATCAAAGAGTCAACAAAAACCCAAACACTACATGGGGTCAACCATTCTCTATGCTCATACCCCTCGCTTTAGCCATGCAGACCCCAACCTTTGTCCAACCTTCCATAATTAAATACTCAGTACCTTTGTTAAATGACTATTCAATAAAAGTCCGGGTGAAAACCTTAATCAAACAATAGAAACCACCAAGGCTAGAGCCTTTTGAGGTTGAGTATTGGAATGAATTGGAGTTGAGTCGTAGATCGACGAATCAACAACCGACTTGTTATCAGTGATAACAGAAGATGATCCTTGTGGGATCAAGTTGAATTTATTCCAGATTCTGAATCAAATGATCAAGAGGACCTGTAACATAGGACACGCCAATACCTAAGCTAAATTCATAAGTGCCTAGAGAATAAAGCTCCATAGCACATTCTCACTCAAGGTCCTGCTACAAGCTAAGCCTATGTCTACCTCCAAGCAAGTGCCTAATGTAAGATAGACCTAAGACAACATCTCTCCTATTTAGGGTGGATCACCAAAATTCGCGACCTGTCAAAATATAATCTATCTCCTCTAACCTAGGAAAATTTTGCAGCGCTTCCGGTAGGAAAAGTGTCTTTTGAAAATTTATACTAACGCAAATATGAAAACAAAAACAATCTCTAATTCTGGAAAGTCAAATTTTGTCTAACTCCCTGAATTAGTAAAAATTTGGACAGCACTGCTTTTAGAAAAGAAATTTTCAGATTTTTACTAAGTCAGATATGAACCAAGAGCAAAACCCGAGTTCAACTAAGATAAAATTCAAGTAACTACTTAGATTTGTAAAAATTTCGGCAACACTCTCTTAAGAAAAGTGCTAATGCAACATTTATATAAAGCTAAGTTCAAAATCTAAAGTGACTTTGACTTTTCAATGTCTTATTTTGTTTAACTCCCTGAATTAGCAAAAATTTGGGCAGCACTCTCTTTAGAAAATGAGACTTTTCAAATTTTTAGTAAGCTATTTATAAAAGTCAGACAAGATGAACTTTGAAAAAACAAAATTTAACTAACTCTTTGGTTTTGTAGAAATTTCGGCAGATTCCCGTAGAGAAAATGGTTCACCAAGATTTATACAAGACCAAGTATAATAAATGATCGTAGAAAATGCAGAAATCGACCTAAGTAAAATAAACTTAGCTCAGAAAATGCAGGAATTAAAACAAACTCCTTTGACTCTAACATGTGGAGAGCATCTAAAGCAACTACCTATCCAACTGAAACTCATACTAAACAATAGTCTCACTCAGCCACATGCAAGGTCAAACCACAAAGGTAAGTACTCTCACCAGCCCCAAGTCAACCTTATCAAACAATAGTTCATAGTCTTTCAATTATTTATCCCCTTATACCCAGCTTACATATGGGATAAAGCTAGACCACCCAAACTTATGAAACATGTCTAGCTTAGTCATTGAATATACACAAACACAGGGCACTACAACTTTTCTCTTCCTTGGGCACGTGACTAGGGCACCCTAGTCGCCCTTAATTGTTTAAGTATTCAAGTTTTATATAA